ATGGTGTTGGTGGTGATGCTGGTGATGATGGTAGTAGTGAAGATGGTGATGATGGTGGTGATGGTGTTGGTGGTGATGGCAGTGATGCTGCCGATGATGACGATGGGGATGGAATGATGACGACGGCAATGATGACGATGGCATTGATGATTATGGTGGCGGTGGTGGTGGTAATGTTGGTGGTGGTGGTGATGGTGGTGATAGTGATGGTGATGATGGGGTCGCGGTGATGATAATGATAATTGTGGTGGTGATCGTGATGATGTTGACGACGGTGATGGTGATGGTGAGGGTGGTGATGATGATGATGGCGATGATGATTATGGATATGGTGGTGATGGTGATGGTGATGATGATGACGATGACAATGGTGACGCTGACGATGGTGATAATGAGTGTGCTGATGATGATGGTGAAGAACTGCACGCCCCTATCGTTGTTTGGTTCTCTCTCTCTCTCTCTCTCTATCACTCGTTCTCTCTCTCTCTCTCTCTCCCTCTCTCGCGCTCTCTCTCTCTCTCTCTCTTTCTCTCTCTCTCTCTCTCTCTCTCTCTCTCTCTCTCTCTCCCTTTCCCTCTGTCTCGCTGTCTCTCTCTCTCTCTCTCTCTCGCTCTCTCCCTCGCGCTCTCTCTCTCTCTCTCTCTCTCTCTATACCTCCCTCTCTTTCTCTATCTCTCTCTCTCTCTCTCTCTCTCTCTCTCTCTCTTTATCGCTCTGCATATACATTGGTATGCATTTGGTCTCCAAGGGGCTTGCCCTATTAGGGTCCTAGCTCATCATAACTAATTAATCGTTACCACCCCCTCCCCTTTTTTCCTATGGCACCCCCCTCCCTTCTTCCAATGGCACCCCCCCTTGAAACAATGGCACTTGATTGCTTGCTCTTGCGTGCTTGCTCTCGCTTGCTTGCTTTTGCTTGCCCTTGCTTGCTTGCACTTGATCGCTGACTCTTGCTTGCTTGGTATTGCTCGCTTGCGCTCGCTTGCTTCCGCTTGCTTGCCTCTGCGTGCTTGATGTTGCTCATCCCGTCCTCCTCCCGTCCTGCTCCCGTCCTCCTTTCGTCCTCCTCCCATCCTCATCTCGTCCTCCTCCTGTCGTCCTATCTAGTTGGAGTCAACGCTGGCTGATATGTATATGTGTATATATGTATAGGTGTGTACAGATGGACGTGTATGTATACACGGATGGTCTCAATTATCCCTTTCTTTCCTCCTCCCTCTCCTCCCCATTCTGCATACTCAGCCGGCTCTTCCACCCTCCGTTGCCCCTAGTCACTAAGTCTCTACTGGTGGTTTCCCCTGCCCACCTCACAAGACTCCTCCACGAAAGGATGGTGGACATGCACATTTTCACAGAGCCCCCCGCCTCCTCCTCCTCCTTATGCTCACCTTCCCCGTCATCCTCCCCCTCCGCTCCTCAGACTCGTTCTAACTCATTATCCCTCTCCCTCCCCTTCTTCCTTCTCCCGTCTCCCTTCTCCTCCACCGCGTCCTCCTGGTCCTCCTCATCCTCCGCCTCCTCCTCGTCGTCACCATCATCATCATCATCATCAACATCATCATCACCACCAGCATCATCATGAGCAACATCGTCACCATCAACGTCATCAGCAGCAGCAGCATGATCATCGTCATCATCATCATCATCATCATCATCATCATCATCATCATCATCATCATCATCATCATCATCATCATCATCATCATCATCATCATCATCATCATCGTCGTTATCATCATCAGCAGCATCAGCATCATCATTGTCGTCATGCTCCTTCTCCGTCTCTCTCTCGTCGTTCCCTCCTCTTCCTCCCCTTCCTCCCCCAGGGGTCTCCAGGCGCCAAGAGCACCTCACATCAGGAACAAATCTACCCTCCCGCACCGCGCCTGAAAGTACGGCAACGTCTCCAATCGGATCCTGCACACGTACGGGTACGGCACCCCAGGGTCCTCGGCCAGGGGCGTAGGGGGCAGAGAGGGGGCAGACACGAGGCAGGGGGGAGGCGGGAGGAGGCGGGAGGAGGTGGGAGAAGGAGGAGGAGGCGGGAGGAGGTGGGAGGAGGAGGAGGAGGAGGAGGAGGCAGGAGGGAGGAGGGAGGAGGGAGGAGCAGGAGGAGGAGGAAGAGGAGGAGGAGGAGGAGGAGGACCAACGGAAGCCCAGGGTGCATCGAGGACGCCGCAGCACACACGCATACACACACACACACACACACGCACACACACACACACACACACACGCAAACACACACACACACACACACACACACACACACACACGCGCGCACACACACACACACATCTCAAGGTCCCCTCTTCACGAGGCCATGTAAGCACTCCTCGTCACTGCGGCAAGCGCTCCGGCAAAAAACGAAGGCCCCCTGGGCCTGCCATGCGGGCGAGAAGGCCCCTGGTGAAGAAACCCTCCAGCTCTAGTACAACGAGAGCTTTGATCATGAAATAATTAAGAAGTGTCCAGGGAGAGTCCCGCTTTGAGGAGGAGCCGCCCTCCATCCGTGCAATTGTCGCACAACGTATGACCCTCTGCACGAAAGATGTGAGGAAGTCACAACCAAGACCCTATTTGAGAAGGCACTGCCATCCATTCACACAACTGCTGCAAGTTTGGAGAAATCTGAAGCGACAGCGCCGTGTGGAAACAAACGCGGCACCCATCCGTGTAACATCTGCATCTTTCAAGGGGCCGGGAAAGTGAGGAGCGCACGGGGGGGGGAGGGTGGGAAGGGAAGGATGGAGGAAAGAGGGGATGAGCAAGGGGGGCAGGGAGGAGAAAGATAAGCGTTAACTGAGAAGCTACAAAGAGGAGGAGGGGGAGGGAGAGGGAGGAAGGGGAGGGGAGGGTGGAGCCGTCTCCTCCTCTTCCCCGTCCTCCTCATCATCATCATCATCAGTATCGTCATCATTCCTTTTCGGCTGTAGCCTCCAATCATATTCCATCCACTCCTACCATTCACCTGTCCCCGTCTTCCTCCTCCTCCTCCTCCTCCTCCTCCTCCTCCTCCTCCTCCTCCTCCTCCTCCTCCTCCTCCTCCTCCCCCTTCTCCTCCCTGTCCTTCCTATCGCCATAATCTTCAGCAGCAGCGGCGTCACTCCTCCTCCTCCTCCTCCTCCTCCTCCTCCTCATCATCATCATCATCATCATCATCATCATCATCATCATCATCATCATCATCATCATCATCAGCAGCAGCAGCAGCAGCAGCATCATCATCATCATCATCATCATCATCATCATCATCATCATCCTGCTCCTCCAACTCCTCATCCTCATCCTCATCCTCATCCTCATCCTCATCATCAACAGCAGCAGAACCGCGACCATCATCGACATTGTCGGCATCATCATCATCATCATCATCATCATCATCATCATCATCATCATCCTCATCCTCGTGTCTCAATTCGTCGTAACTGCTTATCCTGCTCCTCCTCATCATCATCACCATCATCAGGAGCATCATCATCATCATCAGCAGCAGCATCATCATCAGTTCACTATGAAATCATCACTCTTCATCAACAACGTTATCATCAGTATAACATGTAATCACCACTCATCCTCATCATCATCATCAGCATCATCATCATCATCAACATCAACATCATCATCATCATCATCATCATCATCATCATCATCATCATCATCATCATCATCCGTATCAGCATCATCATCATCATCAGCATCATCGATCATCATCATCAGCACCATCATCATCAGCAGCAGCAGCATCATCGATCATCATCATCAGCACGATCATCCTCAGCATAATTATCATCGTCATCATCAGCATCATCATCCCTTCTCCATGGACGCCCGACGCGCTGGATCCTCAGTCTCCCCTCTTCCGCCCCGTCGGCTCTGTCCTGGGACAGGTCAATCAGAACGAGAACGTCGATATAGCGCCCACCGAGCGGACCTGGGTCCCGGAAATAGTTGTGCACCTTGACAACCTGAGCTCCGAGGGCGAAGCGAAGACTGGAGGCAAGGCGGAGCAGAAGAAAGACGATAAGGCGGAGAAGGAAGAAAGGGAGGAGGAGGAGGACAAGGACGATGGCAATGGGGAGGAGCAGCATTAGCGGCGGCAGAAGCAGGAGGACGACAACTAGGGCAGGGATACAAGGTTACGAGGGCCAGGGCGGGGGCAAACAAGGAGGGCAGAGACTTGAATAAGAGAGACTCTCATGCGACTGCTACTTTCGCTGTCACTGTCAGTGGCATTGCATTGCCAAAAGCACTGTTTATGCCTCTGCCGCTACGATTGTCACTGCCATTGCTCTTGACTTCCGGTCACTCGAGATTGAGTAGGACCAGCGTGCGGCAACAGGATTCGGCGCCGCGAGGCTATTTGGAGCAAGTCGGGGCCAGCGGAGGCTTCTGGGCGGCGACGTGCATGTGGACCGACAGATCTCTGCGGCCTGCTGGTCACTGGCCAGTTGTGCCTTGTTGCGTCGAGGTCGGGAACTGAATCGGGCGACACTCATCGACGCTGACCAGAGGCAACTCACTGGATCAGAAATCAAGACCGTATACATGCAATCATTGGCTGCACTAGTGCTTGGGTATATGAAAGTCCCGGAAGAAAAACAGAGCATGTCAATATGGACAGATGCTGATATCGAGAATGAGAATGTGACAACAAAAAAAACAATGTATCTATATCACATTGTGGACTTCAGCGGGATCATCGGAAATCGCGTGTTCCGAGTTCCTTGGGGCCCTAGGCTTGTCATCGTGAATCCCGAACAGTGGGCCATTCCACTCTGCACGGTGCGACGTATGTGTATATAAGTATGTGTGTTGGAACCATCGCGCGCTTCGCGCACGCTCAAGTTCTAGGTAGGCTGGATGGTCGAACTCTTGGTGATCTCTAGTTTATGATACTTCTCCTGCGAGGCTTCCAAGAACCACGAGGACGGCCCAAGTGGCTTCCAAGACTTCCGACGGTCCACCCACGGCGGCCCAAGACAGGCCCAAGGGACGCTTCTGGGGCACTTTTATTCGCTGCGGCTGAACGTAGCCAGAGGAAGAGGGAGAAGAAGGGGAGGTGACAGGGGTCCCCTGGGGGAGAAGGAGGAGGATGAGGAGTTGGAGAATGTGGAGGAGGCCGCAGAGGACGAGGAACAGGAAAGAAGAGGAGGAGGAAATTTGATATTTCCTTTTCTGCAAGAATAGCCAAGCTGCCAGGCGAACATGAAAATAATGGAAATCTTGGAATCCCCTTTTTTCAAGAGCCCTCGGGGCCGCTTTTGGTGCTATGTTGGGCCTCTTTGGGGCTTCTTCGGGGCCTCTTGAAGCCTCCTGGGGGTCTCCTGGGACGAGAATCTCGGGTTCTCGGTTCACGTTCCCGATCCTGGGCCGCGGTTGGAGCCCTCTCGGGCCGTTTTGGACGTCTCTTCGGCCGTTTGGGGGCCGTCTTGGGTCCGTCTTGAAGCCTATTGGGCAGTCTTGGGGCGATCCTCGGAGCCTGTTGGGGCGTCCTGCAGCGTCGGGAAGCGGAACGGGCGGAAAACGCCAAAATTGCTCAAACACCTCAGGAAAATCAATGTTTGTTAGCCTCTTCGAGCTCTCTTGGGAGACCTGTTGGAGGCCTCCTGGGTATATTGGGGGCCTCTTGGGCCGTCTGGAGGCAGCCTTGGGCGTCTTGAACCGTCCAGTGGCCTTCGGCCCATCCCGCCACCGTGCCTGGGCTGTGGATTAGAAGCCTCATGGAAGTTCAATTAGATATCGTGGTGGGCCTCTCGGGGGCATCTTGGAGGCAGTTTTGGAAGCCTCTTGGAGGCCTTTTGGGGGCCTGTTGGGGCCTCTTTTGGGGCCTCTTGGGGACCTCGTGAGGCCTCCAAGGGGGCCTCTTGGGGCGGAAGGCCCGAATTGTCGGTTCGTGTTCCACCTCTTGGGCCCCCCCCTTGGGGCCTTCTTGGGCGATCTTGGGCGCCTCTTGGACCGTTTTGTGGCCCTCTTGGACCACATTGGGGCCCTCTTGGGGGTGTCTTGGGAGCCTCCGGGGCCATATTGGAGCGTCGGAAGCCCGTAATGCGAGCAGAAAACACAAGGAGAATCATAATTGTTAAGACTTTGGGCCCTCTTGGGGATCCTCTTGGAGCGCTCTTTGGACTTCTTTGGGGCCTCTTGGAGCGCTCTTGGGCTGCCTTGGAGGCCTCTTGGACCCTATTGGGCGGTTTCTGGGGCCCTCTCATCCATTCTTGGGGGCCCCTTGGCCTCTCCGGGCCGCCTCTGGGAAGCGCCCCGGGAGGGTGGCAAAAAGTGTCCCCGGATGGTTGCGGACTGGGCGCCCCCAGGCTGGGAAGCGGGCTATCGATTTATCCATTTGTTATATACATCGCATAGTTGCGTGCATAGTTATACGTGTCAGCGTACATACATAAATGCGCACATACATACGTACATGCAGACAGACATACATACAGACATGGATCCATATATGCATGCATATAAACAAACATACGAACATGCACGCATGCATACATACACGCAGCATACATGCATGCATACATATATACATAGACATAGACATAGACATAGACATAGACATAGACATAGACATAGACATAGACATAGACATAGACATAGACATAGACATAGACATAGACATAGACATATACATATACATATACATATACATATACACACCTGCATACCTACACTACATACATACCTACATTGCATACATACATACATGCATGTATGCATAAATACATACGAACGTACGTACATACCTGCATACTGTTTTGCATACATGTGTACATACATACGTACATGCATGCATACATGCACATATACATACATACATACATACATACATACATACATACATACATACATACATACATACATACATACATACATACACACATACATACATACATACATACATACATACATACATACATACAAACATACATACATACATACATACATTCACACAAACATACATACATACATACATACATACATACATACATGTATACACACATGCATACACGCATGCATACATGCATACGTACACACATACATGCATGCACACATTCATACATACATGCACAAACACATACACATACATACATGCATGCATACATACATGTATGCATACATACATGCATGCATGCATGTATGCATACATACATACATGCATACATACACATGTACTGTATGCGTGTGTAAACATATGTGGGCCTGTCCTGCGGGCTGCGTTGCGCGAGCTATGAAGTGAAGTCAATATGGCGTATGGGGTGAAACGTGGTTCAGCAGATGTGGCGCACTCGATGCGGCGCACTCTAGGCTGTGCAACATGTGGGTTGCAAGCTTTGCTTCTCGACATAGAAGAAAAGAAGCAAAAAAAGAGAAGAAGAGGAAAGCGGACATCCCAGCGAATGCCTCCCGGCGGAGATGCTGCTGGAAACCGGCGGGAGGAGCGGAGATGCGGGCAGCAAAAAAACATTGTGAAACAGGGGGTCGCAAACAAAGACATACATGCACTGTTTATCGGGTAAAACAGCTCGCACCGGGAACCAGAGAGGAAGGAGGAGAGGAAGAAAGCCAGAAACAAAACATAAGAAATTTAAAAAATGAGACTGACATAAAACAGCAGGGTTTGTTATGCTTTTCTATTCTTTCTGGGGAGCGAGAACCAGCAGGAACGGGCGTCAGATCACGCATGGGCCAGTGTACCTAGAATCGGCCTGTTGCCTGCGGCAGCCCGCCTGCAACAGACATGAGCAAGCAAGAGGGACCTTCCCACATGGACGACGCGTTTGGGGCAATTGCTCCTGAATCTCATCCCCTCCCTTGGCCTCCTGCCTCCTCCCTCGGAATTGGCGCCAGCATGTGTGACGGCACTCGTCTTTTATATGACGAATGGAAGCAGCTCCAGCCACAGTGGTAGCGACAGGCTGTCACTCCCACGCCCTGCACGGTTTCCCCCGGGGCCGAAGGCGACCCGAGGAGGAGCAGAAAGAGGAGGAGGGGGAGGAGAAGATGGAGGAGGAGAAGGAGGAGGAGAAGGATGAGAAGGAGGAGGAGGAGGAGGACGGGTCGCCTAAGCCCTTCGGAGAAACCCTCCACCACGCCCTGGCGACGGGCTGCGAGCTAGGCGGTGCAAACGCCGGCCAGCTCATGAGGCGCCCACGGGCGGGCACCGGCCCAAAAGCCGCGGAACGTCGGCCAGCGCACGAGGCGCTTCCCGTCATACGCCCCACGGGCGGGCGCCGCGGGAAAACGAGGCCAGCTCCTGAAACCGAAATCCGCCCACGTGCCGCAGGGCACCGAGTGGAGTGCCCTCAGGTCCTTCGAGCCCTCTGCGCTGAGTCTTGCAAGGCCCTCGAAGGAGCCCACAGTCCGAGGTTCCGAGAGCTCCTGGACGCTCTCGGGGTGTGTCGCGTGTATCTTGTGCCTTGTCAAGACTTTTCCCGAGCCCAGGGAGCCCCAAGTTGGGCGAAGAGGACCCCAAGAGGCCCCCAAGACGGTCCAAGAGGGCCCCGAGACGGCCCAAGAGCGTTCCGAGAGGCCCCCCAAAAGGGCCCCAAGAAGCAATTGCGTTTTGGTCGTTGGCAAATGTTTGCGTTCTCGCCTTTTCGGGCGTCCGACGCTCCGAGACGGCCCGAGAGGCCTCCAAGATCACCCCAAGACAGCCCTAGAGGCCCCCCAACAGGGCACCAAGACGGCCCGAAAGGCCCTCAAGACAACCCGAGAGGCCCCCAAGACGCCCAAGAGGGGCCCAAGAGGGGGAACTCGAGCTGACAGACATGTCGAGCCCTCCACCCCAAAGATGATCTCCGAGACCACCAGAAGGCACCTGAAAGCCCCCACGAGGCCCATAACCGCCTCGAAGAGGCTTCCGAGAGGCCTCCCCAGAGATCCCCGCTGGCATCCAAAGAGGCCTCTGACCTACAACCGGCGAGATGGACCGAAGGCAACCAGGCAAAAAAAAAAAGTGGGAAAAGTTAGGGAAAGTGACGACGACGACGACGACGACGACGACGACGACGACGACGACGACGACGACGACGACGACGACGACTGCGTGGGGAAAAGTGTGGGAAAGTACCGACGACGACGCCGCCGACAATGACGACGACAACGACGACGACGACGACGACGACGACGACGACGTCGGCGGCGGCGGCGGCGACGACGGCTGCGGCGGCGGCGGCGACGACGACAGCGACGGCGACGGCGGCGGCAACCACGACGAACAGCGTCAGTCTCAGTACGTGCAAGACCCAGGCCTCCGACCCCTCGATCTCTTCGGCCCGCCCGCCCCCCAGCGCTCTCAGCCCCCTCCCTGGGGGCCAGCTGCTCCTCCCGAGCCGCTGCTCTGACGGACCCCCGGGTAGGTGGATGCATCTTCCGTGGGCCGCTTTGATCCAGAAGATTGTTTGCCAGGCGTGAGGGGGCACAATCGCCCAGAGCTGGAGCCCAAGGCCAGCAGCAGACAGCAGAGCAACCCTCACACGCAGTTGCAAAACATACTCTGCGCCTCGCTGCCCTGGTCGGAGCCGCTGCTGTTACAGACCACAGGGACGCTGCCCTGCTCAGGTCGCCACCCAGGCGTCATGAGGCAGGTCTGCCTCTCGTCGCAGTTATCTGGTTTCTTCATGTTCTTACTACTGTTATGGTGAGGGCATTGGAGAAGGAACCATTGGATAAGGAAGCCAGGGTCTGGAAGCCGGTGGAGCTCCAATCGTGGACTGGCCACGGGTACGACTGCCGCCCTCATCAGATGAGGAATCCCCCAGGGTCTGAAGCCGCCTGGGCACATTCCTGAACCGACGCCCCCACCGCACTGGCACTGTTCTCACGAATAATCACCCCTTCCGAGCCACTGCTTTGGCGGGCCCTTGGGCCAAGAAACGGCCCCTGGGCGCCGGAACTTTCGCAGACCTGCGGCGCGACTCCCCTCGGGCTGGCGGAGCCTCCGCACCGCGGCCGCGGCGCGCGCGGCGACGGGCGGAGGCCTCGAACTGGTTGCGCACCGCCTCCAGCCCCAGCTTCAGCACGGTGCATGTGGGGAACCTCGCGCGGGCGGCCGCGGCGTGGCCCCCGGCCCCTCGCCGAGCGCCGCCCGACGGGGGCCCCCTGGCGCCCTGGCCCGCCGAGGCACCCGCTCTTCAGGGGGGGGGGTCCGATGGCCTCCAGGCGGGGGGGCCGCGCCGATGGCCTCTGGTCGGGGGCTGCTGCAGGCACCACTGTGGCCCAAGGTGCCCCCAGAGGTTCGCTCCACTCTGGGCCCCATGGGGTCCTCTGGGCCCCGCGAGGGGCGCTCGGGAGACCGTGGGGGGCCTCCCTGGGGAATCCTGGGGGCGCCTTGGGCCAGGGGCGCTCCTGGCCCCGCGAGGTCCAGAGGCCCGGCGGGGCTCCCGAGGCCCAGGGGCCCCGCGGGGCCCCAGCCTCAGCACGGCGTGGGGGTGGGGAGCCTCGCGCCGACGGCCGCGGCGTGGCACGATCGGTCAGCATCGAATCGGCGAGCAGGCTCGAATCGGACTGTGCGCCGGATCGGGCCGCATCGGCACGGAGTCGAAGTCAAATCGGATCGGCTGCGCCAGGATGCACACCAGCGCCTCGCGAGCATCGGGCCGCATCGGATCGCTGGCATATTGGAACCGAACTGGATCGGGCTGGCCGAACTCGATGCCGAATCGGATCGACCCGATCGAAACGGACCCCGGGTGGTGCCCTGAAGAGGCCCTGGCCCACTTCGGCCCCCGCTTCTCAGGGAGGTCGCGGTGGCCTCCAAAGTTCCCCTCCCGAGGCCCAGAGGCCCCGCGAGGCTCCAGAGAAGGATGGACAAGCTGGAGCCACCCTGGGCCAGGAACACCTCTGGCAATCCCCGACCTTGGAGGGGCAGGGGGGCCAAAAAGAACCACCAACGTGCGCCTCCAGGCGGCGCAAAAGATCACAACCTGTTGTTGTGTCTTCACGGCTCTGGGGGCTTGGGGGGCCGTGTTGCGGCCCGAGCCGATCAGACAAACACCGACGGCGAGGAGCGTGTTCTGGGGGATGAGGCCGATCGCTCCCGCAAAGAAAAACAAGAACATTACATCGGCAGACCGCTCAGAGGGCGCCCCCCCCCCCGAAAAAAACACCAGCCCTTCCCCTGGCCTCCACCTTCCGAACCTTCCGTGCGGCAGGTGCGGCCACTGCGGCCGCGGCGGCTGCCGCCGCTTCGCGGCACCTGCCGCGCGGAAGGTGAAGAAGGCGGAGGTCGAGGGTTGGATCGGGGAAGAAGTGGCACATCAAAATCCCGAGGCCTCCACAGGCAGGATGTGTGCCCAGATCTTGTTGCGCATCGGCCCCTGGTCGGCCTGGGAAGCCAAACCCAGCAAGGCCTGGACCAAACCGAGCGTGCATGCAGAGGTGCGGCGTCGTGACTTTCGCACGACGTCGTGACTTTTGCACGACGAGGAGGGGGAGGAGGAGGAGGAGGAGGAGGAGGAGGAGGAGGAGGAGGAGGAGGAGGAGCAGCAGAAGGAGGAAGAGGATGGAGAAGGAGGAGGAAGAGGACTGTGGAGGCTGCCAGAAATCCGACGTTGTGACTTTCGCACGACCGGCTCTTCTGTGCCTTCGGCCTCTCAGAGGCCGCCTCCCCGCCCTGGGACCGTCAAGAAACAGCTCGATCCAGATCCAAAAACCAGCCCAGGGGAAGGGGTGGAGATCCCCCAGGGCCCACGCCGCGCGAACTGTGCGACGAGGCACCGAGCGCTGCCAGAAGTGCCCCTGGCCCAAGGGGCCCCCAGGACTCCCAGGGAGGCCTCTCACGGCCTCCAGAGCACCCTCCACGAGGCTCCAACGTGGAGCGAAAATCTGGGGGGAAATTCGGGCCAGGGGCGCTTTGTATCGGCGGCGAGCCCGGGGGGGAAGTGAGACGGGGCGGGCCTTGTCAGAAGACTCGGAAGTCTCCAGGCCTTCTGAGAAGTCTCCCGAGCCCTCCCCGAAGACACCGAAGACCTCTCACAAGGCACCAGGGCTTCTGGGAAGCCCCGCCGCCTTCTGAGAAGGCCTCCTCCTTCTCGTTTCCCCCCCTCGCTCGCCGCCGACTTTCGGGCTGGGCGAAAGGGGGGGATAGCAAAAGGGGGGGTTTGAGAATCAGCTCACGTAGCTGATTTTCCCGGCGCCTCCCGGCGCCGCAGGCGGCTATGTATCGAGGAATGGGCCCCTCGGTGGGCCGAAACCAGCTGCACGCAACAAATTTCGCAACCCCCCCTTTCCCTATCCCCCCCTTTCGTCCGGCCCGAGACCTGTAGCAGCACCCGGTGGGAGAGGATCGGGGCTCCGGGGCCGCAGCCTGCTGGTCGCCTCTGGTGCCCGCGGGGCCTCGGGGGGGGGCCGCCGGAGGGCCTCCGGGAGCAGCAGAGGCATCCCCAGGGGCCCGGACCTCCGACGTCGCACTCTTTAGGGGGCCACATGCGAAACCTACCCCACCCTCCCCCTCAGAAATCGTGGGGGGTAGGGGTAGGGTTCGCATGTGG